TTGTGATTCATTTGCGGCACTCTAGAGATGGCGCTGATTTCCACATTTTTACTCTATCTCTGTCTTTGTTTCACTATTTTCTCTCTTTATTTATTTGTTTTACGAAATTATACATCTAAAAGCTTCGATATTTGAAATATTTTATAATTGTTTTTATCTGAATCTATTGAAAATCTTAATAAATTTCATTCTATGCAATTTTATATGTTGTAAATATATTATACATTATATATATATATTTGTTTTTATATATATGTTATTGCAATATATATAGCTATTTTTGTAATATTATTGTATATATTTATTTTAATTTTTAATTATCTAAAAAAATTTTCAGCTAATTTTGCAATTTTATATCAAGAAAATGTAATTTGAAAAAAAATGACATGAAATTTTTTCTGATATTTTTAAAAACAAACATTTTTTAAATTTTAATATAATTATTTGTTATTTAATTACAAATTTTAATATATTTAATTGTATTTATCATTTGCATAGTTATCTTTTATAATTATCATTCTATATGGTAAACGTTTTAAATTGTTTTTTACAATTCTCTTAAGACTATAGATACTTACCATTTATATACTTGATACTTACCTTTTACGTATTCTATTAAATTATAATATTATTAAATATTTTTTTGTTTTTGGTATAATATTAAAAAATGTTTGAAATAAAAATTAAATAGTATCAAGGTAAATACATTTTGATTATTAATTCATAAATACATATTTGCATTTAAATGCATTATTATATATTTTTTAATGTATTAATTAGTTGTAGTTTTGCATTTATTATAAAAAATTATTAATTATATAAGTTACTTTATTAGCTTATAAGAGATAATATATATTTCTTAAACTAATGATTTTTTATATAAATAAAATTTAATAGTTTTTTCTGAAATCTGGATTTTTTAGATCATTATAATTCTTATATGAAAGATTATTGGTATAATTAATATTGTCATATTTAGTTAATTATTCAATATCTTGATAATATTATTCCATTTTGAATCAATATCACATATGACATGAGAGCTATATAACCTTTGGACATCAAATCTATTCTCTATTTAATTTATGATAATATAATTAAGAAAATCTGTAGCTGTGAAATAAGCTTCTTATTTTGTATTTTTTAATATTAAATTTATCTATATATTCTGCATTGTCAATTAACCACTATTTATGAAAGTATATAAAATACATATTATTTCCATATGAAATTGTTCCCAAATTAGATTGGCATTGTAACTCAATATCTATATATTTATTCTTAAAAACATTTAAACGATATTTAAATATTTAAACATCTTAAGCCAATTAAGAAATAATATTACAAATTATATAAAAATTTTAACATTTCAACATAATTTTTTATTAGTTTAAATGTTTTTTTGAGCAATATTTTTCTTATCTGGAACAAATTTGGAAAAAAATTATTTTAAATAAAAATTATTTTTCATAAAAATCTCAATTAAAGAAAAAAATACATCAAAATCAAATTAAAAATTCTAATATTAGAATAAAAATCAGTAAATTCTACATTAAAAATGATCTACTTGTACAAAAAAAAGTAAAATTTATATTTTATTGATCAAAATTTTAATAATAATAATAAGTTAAAATTTATATGCTCAAATAATTTAGAAATTAAATTATTGCATACTAAAAGTATCATTAAGAATGAGATAATTTGATCTTATCGTTCTATCTAGAAAAGACTATTTCTAATTTAAATAAATCTTTATTTAAATTAGAAATAAGTTTTCATTGATATATATATTTATATTGTAAATATAAGAAGATTAGATTCGTATCGTATCATGGGGGTTTCCAAAGAATGAAATCTTGTTAATCAAATATCAAATCAGATTACACATGAATTGCATACCAATCGTTTTGACGAATTAAAAATTATATTTTACTTTCAAAAACCTATATATTCAATGTATATTATTTTAGTTTTCTTCATCCTGATCTTGTCAACAGATTTCTAAGCTCTTATTAAAAAATATTTTAAATCCTGTATTATTTGATTAATAATCATAATTTGTTGAAATATACTTATTAAAATATATTTTGGATTTTTTAATAAGTATAAAAAACACTAAATATTATTATTAGTTTCTGATATCTTTTGAGTAGGTTTCATTGTGTCACGATCTATAATACATTATTTGTTGGGGAGAAATTATGAATTTATTTATAAAAAAAAAAATTGCTCAACGAAACAAAATATAATAGTCAGATTTCGACGGTGATGCAGCGATTTCGATTAAGTGTATTCCACAATATAGAGCATATTCATAACATGAAATATAAAACTCTCATTATCAACTATATATATCGTTAACTTTGAACATGGTCAACATATAAATATACAGTCATCACGTTAAGTTAAATGTATCCATACAATACATACAATGAATCTATACATGGTATAAGTAAAATCCCTATATCTTTTCTTGTTTTTTTTTTCTTCTTGACAGTTTAGATACATACATAAATGCATACACACGTATATGCGAAGTATATATATCTCGGAATATGTCGCTACTACACAATTATACAAAACGCTATAGCGAAATTCGCGTTTGCGTGTGTGGTTCCTTTATATTTTTTTTCATTTTGTTTCTTTTTCCCTTAGAAATATACATTTATCAATACGTAGAGACGCTACTGATTAAAATAGAAAACGAAAATACAAGTATAAATGAAAAAATATATATATATATGTATATGTATATATATATATACATATATATATAATATGTATATATAATATATGCATTTATATTATACATATGTATATATATATATAATATATATAATATAAACATATATATAAATATACAAATACACATCGAAAAAGTTTCATTTACATGAATTACAAAGAACGGAGTATTAGTTCAACGGATAATCTCTCTTTTTTCTCTCTTTCGCTCTCACAATATTTTCCGTAGCACTTAAATTGCTTATTATATTATTTTGGCACTTATAGCGAAGAATTTTCTTAATTGTAATTTACATTAGAGATTTTGCTATTTTTTGTTTCGTTTTTATTATTTTATTATTTTGAATGGATCACATTTATCTTTTAGGCCAACAAAGTATTTTGCGCTTTTATTTATTATTACTCAAGTGGTTATCGCTTGATATCTGCCAATTGCAAAGAAAATGTACGGAATCTTTTTTAGAAACATGCAGAGAAATATCCGTAGTATCTTCTCCGTTTGTTGGTCAGTCTCCAGCCTCGATGGGCTCTCTCTCCTTCTTTACTGTTCATGCGAATAAATTCGTCTCGACGAAGAACTCGAGAAATCCCCGTCGAGTTCTGCTCGCTATCCTCTCTCTCGCTCTCTCGCTCTTTCGCTCTCTCCCATTCACTCTCCCTCTCTTTCTCTCAATTCGCAGAATATATCTGTGTGAGTGTGTATGGTATATGTCAGTCTTATCTGGTGGTGCATGGCCAGCCCGGTCACGTCATTTGTGCGGCATTGAAGCCTCGTTTCCTCGGAGTGGTGAATTGTGGGCTGGTGATTTGATACTGTTGCACGTATGGATTGTTCCTAAGGACATTACCACCAGGTGAACCGGTCGAATATTGCGAAGGTACCGTGATTATCCCAGTTTGTTGCAAATACTGTTCACGATAAAGTGCCTGTTGCGTCACATATTCCCCGTTCACAGGATTCTGAGCACTGTAATGAACCTTCACGGTCTTGGCCGATGGCTGATTAGCGTTGCACTCCTTATAACTGTC